GCCCCCTGCCACCACAGAGTGAGGGGAAGGGGGGGAGGGGCGCTGACGTACACGGACAGGGGGCGTGGCCATGTACGTCAGCGTTACAGACGGCAGGGGGGTGAGAGCTGCAAGTGTAGGGTTGTGTGGAGCCACCTATGCCCCCGTCAGGGCTCTGTCAGGTAGGCGCCCCAATCCTCTGCCCCGTCCCACACCCTACCTCCCGCCTAGACCCACATCCCCACCTCCTTCTCCCCTCCACAGCAAAACCCCTCCCTCACACTGAACCCCTCATTTTTGACCCCACCCCAGAGCCCAGGGGGGCCACCAAATTGACCAGCCCGGGCCCTCATAAAAGTTAATCCAGTCCTTAGGGGAATTCCTGAGCCCCCCCATGCTAAAAAAGGTTCCCCACCCCTGGTCTAAACCATCCAAGACAGATGGCTATCCATCCTCCTCTTGAAAACCTCCACTGGTGGAGCTTTCACAACCACCCTCAGCACTCTGTGCTATTGTCCTACTGTTCTTACCATTAGGAAATGTTTCCCTAGATTTAATTTAAATCTGCTGTGCTGTAGTTTAAACCCATGGCTTGCTCCTTGTCTTGCCCTCTGCCTTTATGGCTTTGGTTTATTACATGAGTCTGTATACTTACAGGCTACGTCTAGACTGGCATGATTTTCCAGAAATGTTTTTAACGGAAAAGTTTTCCGTCAAAAGCATTTTCGGAACAGAGAGTCTAGATTGGCACAGACGCTTTTCAACGAAAGCACTTTTTGTGGAAAATCATCCGTGGCCAATCTAGACGCGCTTTTCCGCAAAAAAGCCCCGATCGCCATTTTCGTGATCGGGGCTTTTTTGCGGAAAACAAATCTCAGCTGTCTACACTGGCCCTTTTGCGCAAAACTTTTGCGCAAAAGGGACTTTTGCCCGAACAGAAGCAGCACAGTATTTCCACAAAAAGCACTGATTTCTTACAGTAGGAAGTCAGAGCTTTTGCGGAAATTCAAGCGGCCAGTGTAGACAGCTGGCAAGTTTATCCGGAAAAGTGGCTGAGTTTCCAGAAAAACTGGCCAGTCTAGACACAGCCACACTGTACAACAACATAAAAGCAGCAAATCAGGTCGAAAGTGCATGGAAGGAAGACACAGAAATTAAGCTATTACACATACAAGAGAAAGGAATAGAACCGCGCTGCGCGGCTGTGCCGGCTTGTAATCTACTCACATGGGCGAGTAGATTACAATAATTGTCGAGCCTTGCACATACATATATATAGATATATATATGGCCAGTGCTGAATTCTACTCTGATCATAAGCAGGGCTTGACAAACTGCAGCAAAATCTACTCGCCAGCCCTGCATTGCACATGCACGCAAGACCTGCATTGCGCATGCACACGCCACCGGTGAATGGGGCGACCGGCTGAAATCTACTCGCCTGTGGCAAGTAGATTCACTGATTTGTTGAGCCCTGATCATAAGGGTTCTCCAATCTGGAGTCCATCCTGAAATGTGTCCAGTGTCCTAGCAAACAGCCAACCAGCAATACTAACTATAGTATTAGACCTAAGAATAGAGAAATACATTGATTTTTTTTTTATTATTATCCAAGAAACCATTCTAGCAATTTGTTGCTAAACTTCTTTCTGACCACCATATTTCTAATGCTGCAGGTCCATATTTCCCTGGTCATCTGCCCTTTCTCTGCTGTTCTTTTACCTTAATTGACTCCAGTTCCATTCGAAGGCGATTGTTTTCCGATAGTAGGTCTCGATTTCTGAATTCCGTTTGTTGCAGCTGTGTCTCTAATTCTGCTTCATATTCTCGGCTCCCCTCTTGAAACTCACGCAGTTCCTCCTGTGTATTTTCTGCACTAGAAGTATAATTCCAGCCACAGAATTAGTTGGGTTCATTGTAATAAAATAAAGAAACTCCACTCATCTTATTACAGAGGTATGACAAAATAAAATGTTCCTCTGTTACAACTGCCTGTCACCAATACACGTTTAGAAAGGAAAATAAATGATTATATGAAAATGCCTTTCTAATTCACATTTGTTCACATTCCCACTCAGAGCAAACTGTCCTAGCATACAGGATTACAAATAATCCATTCCATCGTTATGTTAACAGAGTCTGAAACAAGTATAGGGTTCACCTGCCATTGGTCATGCGCACTTGTCTGCAAATTTTAGCTATTTACATTAAATAGCCACGTGGGTGAAACCTCATCTGCAGAAGACTTATGCAAGAGATATAAGGCAACAAGCCTTTCCTCAGAGTTTATTCAAATATTGCTACAATAATTAAGAATAGATGTAACTATTGAGACTCCACATGCCATCTCAAGGCCTGATCCTAGGAAGGATCCACTGACAGCAGGATCAAGCCACTTGACTTACAAACCTTAAAAATGAGCAATTTGACATTAGAGTCATAGTATCATAGAATCATAGAGCTGGAAGAGACCTCAGGAAGTCATCCAGTCCAGCCCCCTGCCCTAGGCAGTACCAATCCAATCTAAATCAACCCAGCTAGAACTTTCTCAAGCCAAGACTTAAAAACCTCTAGGGATGGAGATTCCACCACCTCCCTAGGTAACCCATTCCAGTGCTTCACCACCCTCCTAGTGCAATAGTTTTTCCTAATATCCAACCTAGACCTCTCCCACTGTAACTTGAAACATTCCTTTATCCTGACACAGTACGAACTGGAAAGAGATGACGAGAAGCCTCTCTGCCTCTGCTGGGAGTTCACTCCTTCTCTGGAGGGTGCTGAAACATCCCTTCTTAGCCAGCATGTGCTTGACCAATGTATTTCTGAAAGGGTATTTTAATCTCGCATTTGGAATGCCCCATATGACAGGCATCTAGGTATATTGCCCCAGCAGGCTTCTTCTGCACAATGAGAGCTGAAGTAACCACAGGGTCCCTTCTGGTAGTAGAATCTCTACTCTACTACACAGATTTCAACATCCCACCCATTAGAAGTTCCTACAATGATTTTCAGGATCTACTGCCTACTAGGAAGAAAAAGTACAGAATTAAATTCATTGCCTTTACCATTGTTTATATTTCATAGCCAGTTCTTTCCAGTAGCGGGTTTCTTCTTCCACTGAATTGAAGTGATTTCCTTCCAAGTCTTCCATGGCGAAATCTTTAGAAAGTCTAGGATTCTTATTTCATGTTTTCCTGAAAATTAAGGAGTAGCAAATTTAGGCGTAGCATAGTCCTATTACCATATTATCTCATGGCTTCGTCCTGTGGAGTTGTCCCCCAGGCATAGTAGAAGCAGCCTCATCCCTGGAGGCATTTAAAGTAAGACTGGGCAAGATACTGTCAAATATGCAACCTGCCAGAGGGAGGGTTAGATGATTTAACAGGGATTTTCTCTCTCATGTTTCTCAGAATCTACTGAAAGGCGGTTAGACTACCTGTTAGATAACATACATTATGTGTCAACCCCTCCCTACCTAACTGCATGGTCCTATTCAACAGAACATTAACAGATACTCCCAGCACAAGCAGTAGGCACAGAAAGCAGCTGAAGAGGGAGACACCACAGAACACACACTGCCTCATGGGACAAGGAAGGACACCCTGAGAAATGCAGATAGGCCATGTGAGCAAGAAACAAATTGCTAAAGTCAAAGAAAAGTTTGACTTTAGCAACCCCTGAAAACATGAAGGAACTTCAGTGAGACATGCAAAGGATCTGTGGATAACTATTTCCTCTGGCAAAACTTTCAAAAAAGGGCCTATGTGATTTAGGAGCGTATGGACCTAAGTCACTAAGGTGTTTTTAAAATGTTACCTTTTATCTTAACTCTAAGACTCTATAAAGTACAGAACAGAAATGGAATGTAGTAGAACAGTTATTACTAGGAAGTGTGTGAGGCACCATAAATACTCGCATAAAAGCAGAAATGACTTTATGTGGATTAGTCTCAGGGCTTGTCTAGATCAGTGTTTCTCACACTTTTTTTATAAAGTACCCCCTTTAAAAATATATATAAGTACTCCCAGTACCTACAGTTTTCAGACACACAAAAATTTTTTCTACTATTGCAACACATTTGTTTAAACAACTTAATCGAAGCTGGGTGGATGATGAAATTTTTGGGTGTAAAAAGTACAAAAATAATAAAGCCCTATAAAACTTAAATTTCAGTTTTCTCCAAATTTCAGTTCTGTTGACGTACCCCCCCAGACTTCTCCCAAGTACCCCTAAGGGTACTCATACCACTGGTCGAGAAACACTGGTCTAGATCATAACAGCTGCTCTAACATAGCGCTTAGTGAAGATGCTATCACCAACAGGAAAGTTTCCCGCATCTGCGTAGCTATAAGGGATGTTAAAATTTTCAGGAGGTACACATTTACACGGGGAAAGAGGAGGGCAGAGGCATCACCTGCAGAGCTGCCTGTCTCCCCCTGTGCTGCTGCTTCTGATACAGAGGCAGCAATGGGGTGGGGTGGGGCGGGTGGGTTGCATGTAATGGTGAAGGTTAACTGATGAGCCTAAGCTCATTAGTTAATTGTTTATATTATCACATCCCTAGTAGGTACTCCACCTCCCTGGGAGGTAACAGCTATGTCAATGGGAGAAAACCTGTGAACATAGCTGTCTAGAACAAAGATTAAGTTGGTGTAACTATATGATTCGGGGGCTGGAGGGGGTTTGGGTGTGGTGTTTCCACACACCCCTGAGCAAAAATAGTTCTGCCAATATACATTGGCAGCATAGGCGAAGCCTCAGAGATGGAGAAATGTCACAATTAAGGCTCTAGACCAGGGATTGGCAACCTGTGGCTCGCAAGCCAAATACGGCTCACTAGGCAGCCAGATATGGCTCTTCTTGAACCCCAACTCAGCCCACTCCAACTCTCCCCACAGCAAGGAGCCCGTGCTGGCGCTACAGCCTTACGGCCCTCCGCAAGATTGGAATGCCAGCACTAGCTTTCGGCGGGGGAGTAGTGTGTGGGGGAGAAAGCCCAGAGCCTCCCTGCCAGATCCGGCGTGCAGAGAACAAGCGGGGAACGTACACTGTCCTTTTCTTTCCCTCAGCGTGTGGGGAAGGGGCGGGTGGGTTGCATGTAATGGTGAAGGTTAACTGATGAGCCTAAGCTCATTAGTTAATTGTTTATATTATCACATCCCTAGTAGGTACTCCACCTCCCTGGGAGGTAACAGCTATGTCAATGGGAGAAAACCTGTGAACATAGCTGTCTAGAACAAAGATTAAGTTGGTGTAACTATATGATTCGGGGGCTGGAGGGGGTTTGGGTGTGGTGTTTCCACACACCCCTGAGCAAAAATAGTTCTGCCAATATACATTGGCAGCATAGGTGAAATGTCACAATTAAGGCTCTAGACCAGGGATTGGCAACCTGTGGCTCGCAAGCCAAATACGGCTCACTAGGCAGCCAGATATGGCTCTTCTTGAACCCCAACTCAGCCCACTCCAACTCTCCCCACAGCAAGGAGCCCGTGCTGGCGCTACAGCCTTACGGCCCTCCGCAAGATTGGAATGCCAGCACTAGCTTTCGGCGGGGGAGTAGTGTGTGGGGGAGAAAGCCCAGAGCCTCCCTGCCAGATCCGGCGTGCAGAGAACAAGCGGGGAACGTACACTGTCCTTTTCTTTCCCTCAGCGTGTGGGGAACAAGCATGGCTCCGTGCGCTGCCCTTTTCCTTCCTCCCTGACACACTTCCTGGAGGCTTCTCCTGCGAATCCTTCCTGGAAGCTTCCTTCCGGCAAATGGGAGCAGTGAGAGGCCATGTTACACAGTGCCTGCGATGCGGCACAAAAACAAGTACCCCCACCCCCTCATGCCCAGACCCATCACCCTCCCCGCATCCCACTCCGTCCTTAACTCTGATCTCAGCCAGACATCCTTCCCCCAGCCTGTTCCAGCCTCCTGCCCAGAATCCCTGCACCCTGGCCAGAAACCCTGTCCCCAGCCCACTCCTGCCCCCTCCATTGCTCCTGCCCCCTTCCCCTGGTCAGACACCCTACTCCCAGCCTGCTCCTGCACCGTACCTCCTACCCAGACCTTGCACTCCCACCTCCTCCTACACCCCACCTTCTGCCCAGATCCTGCACACCCAACCCTATCCCACTCACTAGCAGCCCTGTCCTGAACACTTAACCCCACATTTTTGGCCCCACCCCAGAGTCTGGGGAAGCCACAAAATCCACTAGTCCTGGAACCCCAGAAGAGTAAATCTGGCCCGAGGCCCCTTGAACCTCAGTTCTCCTTGCCCCTTTCCCCACCATGGGGCTGGAGCACCAGGGGAGTGAGGATTGGGGGGGGTTGGAGGGTTGGGGTTTTTTGGGGCGGGTTTTTTGTTTCCCACCTGTGCAGCCCCCGACTCTACTCTTGCCATAAATAAAGACAATGTTGAAACCTTTTGTGTTGACATAATATTTTACTCTATTTAAAAATGAAGCCTGGCCAACAACCCCCCAATTGGGGCCCAGTCCCCATCTGGCCACAGTGTCACAACACTTCTCCACGTCCCCGTCCCCCCCATCAACTCTGAGCCCATCACACACCTGAACCTCCTGCCCTGAACCCATCATATTCCCACATCCCCAAACTCCTGAACCCCCACATCCCAAGTCCCCTGCCATAACACTCCTGCATCCCCACAAACCCAAACTTTGTGCCCTGAATCCATCATACACCCAAATCCCCTGCCCTGAGTCCCTCATGTACCCCAACCCTGACTCCTGCACCCCCACATCCCCAGTCATAAGACTGACAGAAGACAGCCTGAACGTCTCCATGAAGCTGTATTTGTCCAGTTATAATGTGAACTTCAAAGAAATGTGTGAAAAGATGCAGCAGCAGAAGTCCCATTAAATAAAATCTCTGAGGACAATGTTTCATTTCTGCCATTATTAATCAGCATGTCAATTATCAATAATATAAAGTTGTACATTTTCAATCATGCAAATGGGCATACTTATACAGCTCTTTGTTGACCACTTGTTCTGAATTTTGATGTTGTTTGGTTCTGGTTTGAAAAGGTTGCAGACCCCTGCTCTAGATAGTCTGCTCTGTGCAATGCTGGGTGAGGCAAGGATTACAGGTCAGACATTAAAGGAGCCTCCACAGATTGAAGACTGTAAATAAAGATGGAGTTAGTCTCTTCATTTACAAAGTCAAGCAGCAGAAACAGTGGAACCCTAAACCAGAGGTTCTCAAAGTTCTGGTTCAGCAAACCTCTGAGTGTGACCCCCCACTATAAATTTAAAACATGTTTTTATATATTTAATACCATTATAAATGATCGATGCAAAGCAGAGTCTGGGGAGGAGGCAGACAGCTCACGACCCCCTCTGTAGAAACTTTGTGACCTCTTATCCCCAGTTTGAGAATCTCTCTTCTAAACTGTCTATGGGAGCTGCAGAGTCAGCAAGTCAACTCCAAATTTTAAAATCTCAGCTTTAGATCTACTTATAATAAGCCAGTAAGTCTCCAATGATTAGTGTAAAAAGAGCCATGAATAGGGATGTGAACGAGTAGTCGACTAGCTGTTTAACCGATAAGCCTAGACTTATCGGTTAATCTAGTCAACTACTTACATTTCTCCCTCCCCCCCTTGTTACCTCTGTATTAAAGGCAGCTAAAGTGAGGGGGGGAGCAGGAGCTGATGCTGGGAGGAGCCAGCTTAAAAGATGATACCGCCTTTAACCCTCTCCACCCAATGCTGCTGCCTATTTCAGAGACAGCAGTGTGGGGCTTCACAGCAGCAGCCCCTATCCATAGAGGGTCCAAGCTCCCTGCAGACAGGGGCTGATTGCCTCCTATGGACTACTCTCATTCTCCCCTCCCCCTGCTGCCTCTGCCTGATACAGAGGTAGCAGGGGTGGGAGAGAGGAATTCCTGCCCCCCAGCCTCTCCCCCCCGCAGCAGCCTCTGTCTGCACGCAGCTCAGACCCCCTGTGGACAGGAACTGCTGTCACCCCGAACTGTTGTCTCTGTATCAGAGATAGCAGAGTGGGACAGCAAGCAGCCAGTCCGCAAGGGGAGCTGGTTTTTAAACTGGCTCCCCTTGTGGACTGTCTCCTTCCTGGCACCCCTTGCTGCTGCCACTGATAGAGAGGCAGCAGTGTGGGGTTACAGGGGGCTCCCCAGGAGAGGAGCCCGAGTGCCCTGTCTGCCAGCTCTGCTCCCCGGGGACTA